CTTGAAAATAATGAAGAGAATGGGATATTGACCAACCTGTGTTCTTAAGAAAAAAAAATGGAAAATTGTCGTTTCGTTGCTGGACTATAAGGCTAAGAGGTGACTCCGTCCCACATTGGGATCATTATCCTAGACAGATGCTCTTTCTTTGATCCCCGACAAGACCCTAAGCCACTTGATTGCAGTTTCCCAAAAGACCGGAGGCAGCCGCACGGTTGGCGCGGGGGCAGGCGGAGGCAGGCCCGCCCGAGGAAGTGCCAGTGCCGCTCGGGGAGCCCGGCCCCCTTCAAAGCCAGACTGGAACGGGTGCTCTGTAACAGGGCGTCCTGCGTAACGCCGGGCGATTATTATTGTCTTCAAAATGAATAAATTACAGAGCAATTATTGATATCGATTTGACTGGCTAAACTATTGGTGACTGCTATGGTAAGAATAATGTATTCCCTGCTTTGAAATTCCTAAAAGGTTATATTTCATTGAATTTTAATTTGTCATTTTTCCTGCTTTCACTTGAGAAACTTATAAGCTTTTGTGACATTAAAATATGGCTCTAATTTATTAGCATAATCTGTTAATATTGTTTCATTTTAATAGACATTAAGTATGATTTCTTAACACTCTTGTTAAAATTACATCTTAAAATTGAAGTCGGGAAAAATTAGACGTGGCTTAGGAACCACAATGTCATGTGTGTCCCAAATTTTTATATGGAGAAGTATTATTTTTCTAATCGCATCGTATTCAAGGTGCTTTAATTATGACAATGAACCAACCCAGCACTTTCAAGCTTAGTTGCCCTACCAAAATAGAAAATCTAAACTACCCACAGTGTCTGAGATGTAACCTAGCAATGTATAAACATTTAGTACTATTTTGGGAGAAGCTTAGAAATTTAAAATAAATGCTGGCTCGTAGCAACAGAGTGGTTTACATAGGATATTAGCCCAGGCTCTCATGGCATTAGGCACTTCGCCCCACGACATGTCTTTTTAATGCCATCTTTATCTGCTACGTGATGCATGAAATCTACTTTCAGTTTTAGAACTGCCAGCAACCTTTGACCCCTTTAGTGGAGACACAATGTGACCTTTCTATTGTCATCAGCTTTCATTCTCCTGAAAATTCTATGAATTTTTATTACAAGTTTTTTTTTAAACCAAGCTGAGGCTTCCACAAATTACTTGCCACAGATGAGATGAAGTTGTTGAAGTGGTGTGAGATAAGTTTTACAGCCAGCGTGTGTGCTGCGAGGAGCCCAAGCCTGTGTCCCGCAATGTCATACCCCAGTAACTGCTGAGCCTACTATTGGATAAATACATCATTTTATGGAACATTGATTGTTCTATAAACCCAATGGAGTATTATGCTCTATGATCAAACCATTTAGATTGTGTGTAGAGCACAGAAAATGCCATATTCAGGATGGTACTAAAAGTGCCATTTGTGTATTTTATGGATGTCATTACAGGGGAAACTTCTCTCTGTAGGCCCTGTTTACTGCAAAATTTTTTAGTCTGTAATGACATTTTTCATTCACAACGTATGCCTTCAAGAGAGGGGGCCCTTGTTTTATTTTTTTCATTCGAGTTTACTGCACAAATTCTGTACATTTTAATTAAATGTAAGCTTAACAAAAGCATAAGGAATTTATTCTGTGGAAAAAAACGATGACAGCGAGGAGAGAGCGGCGCACACGCGAGGAGGCAGCCAGGTTCTCAGCCCCATCTGTGGCTTCCCAGAAGCACCGCAGACGCAGAGCGGAGCCCCAGCACGTTCTGGGGAGCGGGGTCTCGGAGACTTAACCCTCCCCTCCCGCATGGTGGAGTTTGCGCTTTTCCACTTTGGAGATGAGGCTTCAGGAAGGGTAACAGCATCTCAGCAGCGAGCCCGATCCCAAACCATTTCCCTGAAAACAGATCTTCAGACACCCAGGAAAAAAAACCTTTTTATGTCAACCAAGTTGTCAATTTCCAGGGCATTTAACTCTGAGAAGGCAGTTTGTTGTCTTTGTGCTCAAGAAAGGATTTCAGAAACAGGCACCAGACTGCATTTTAACCTTCTTGCACATTCTATGGAAAGCTGCCGGCTGCCCTATTGGAAACAGATCCGGCAAGACTACGTTTAGGCACGCTATTCTATTAGCTACTCGTATCCTACTGAAATCTGATATTACAAAGTGTTGGCCAGGTGCAGTGGCTCACACCTGTAATCCCAGCACTTTTGGAGGCCTAGGCAGAAGGGGCACTGGAGCCCCGGAGTTTGAGACCAGCCTGAGCAACATAGCCAGACCCCATCTCTACAGAAAAATAAGAAAAGTTAGCCAAGTGTGACGGTGTGCACCTATATTCCTAGCTACTCGGGAGGCTGAGGCAGGCGGATCGCTTGAGCCCAGGAGTTCAAGGCTGCAGTGAGCTGTGAATGCCGCCACTGTGTTCCAACCTGGGTGACAGAGCAAAACTGTCTCAAAAAAAAGGAAGTGTAATATAAATATTATGTTGGGCATCCATGCTCCATTAAAGATTTGTGCAGTTTAGGAGTTATAACAGTGACTAAGCAACTAAGGATAAAACCTATGCAACATTTCTGTTTTCCAAATACCGTATCCATTTGGCCTTTTGCACTGGTGAGCTTCGCAGTTCATATTTACTAGAAAGAGCTCAAGAATTGAAGTTGATGTGCCCAGTAAATTCTTGGTCATAGCCCAGTTAGAATTTTAAAGTTACAGTAGAGATTCACATTAGTTTAAATGACACTTGAACTTATACATAGCTCAACATTAATTCATTATGGTTGAAATGGAAGAATCTTCAGTGGGTGAATCTTTTTCAATCTGATTGAGGCTGTTACATTTTATAGGTGCTATTTTTCAAAGCAGTACTGACAGCACTCGAAGTTATTAAATTGCTGAATCAAAAGATGGACCTGCACTCGCATTTATGAACTGTGATGGACTAGCTGGGCTTGTGCGCGTGCAGAGGTTAAGATGTTGGTGTTGTTAAGCTTCATCACACCCCGTACTGACAGCAGTATTTACCCATGTAGTTTACTTTAATGGTCTGGAAGTGGCTTAACCCACCTCTGGATTCAAATAAATTCAGTAAGTAGTTCAGAATAGCATAATTATCAGTGCTGCAAGGGATTCAAAGGATAATTCAACACCCAAGAAACTTTCTGTCTAGTTGCAGAGAACAGAGCGGCATTGCTTGGACTCAGACATGGACCATTTCTTCCAGACATGATCTAAGAATAGGTGGCTTGTTCTTTCCCAACTACAGTTATTCTTCCTGTTTCTTAATGTATTGCCAGCATGTCTTTTTCTACAATTAAGAGTGATGGGGGAGGGGAATGAGTTGCAAGCTGCCTTATTTGTTTGCGTGCCCTTATTTTCCCCCTCTTCAAATTCTGAATGAGACTGAAAATGACCTTGAAATTAGAGAATAGACAGAAACAAGTTCAGGAGAACGTAAAGAAGGCAAGCAGAATATTGCATCTTAGGTAGAAAAGTAGGGGTTAGGGGAGAAATTGCAAGTATACCAGAGGAAGAATTTGTCAGACATGGTAGACAAAGATCTAGAGGCCCTAGTGGATGGCAAATTGACCAGGGATCAGCCATTCCATGCCTGGCTTAAACGCAGGTGTAAATGGAGTGTAGACATGGGAGCTCTGTGCAGCGCCGCCCTCATTAGGCCTCTGCTCACACCCTGAGCAACCCCTGACCTCTTTGAGGTCCTGCCCACCCCGTCCCATGCCTGCTGTCCTCTCTTGGGCTGTCAGAGAGGCCCTCTAACCATCTTGCCTCATCGCCTCTGCTCACATCCCAGGGGTCATCATGGTATTTCCTAAAGAGTCATGGTGTTGTCTCTAAGGAATTTGGGGCTGGTATTAGAGATAAAAAAATGTCATGCCCTCTGTTACAGTGCTATAGTGTTCCTGCTTAAAGACATCCGGTAGGTTCCTTCTCCCCACGGCCCTCGGCCCAGGTGCCCGAGTGCAACATATAGGAGGCCTTGAGCAGCCTGGTCTGAGTGGCACTGTCTGGTCTCCTAAAGCCAGAGCCCTCGGCTGCCACAGGCGGCCACGCCGTCCTGCCCTGCGTGGGCCTTGCTGCCTCTGCCTGGGAGACTCTTCCTTCCGCCAGCGCGCAAGGGGTGGCGTGAGTCTTGGGCCTCGAGATAGGGTGTGAATGTTGTTCCTTTTATGCTCTTTCCCATTGCCTGAATGTGTGGCTGCTTCGCCTCTGCCGTTGTCCTTGTCACTGTGTACTGGTATTCAAGTCATTCAGCAAGCACACCTTCGTAGGGCTGGTCCACGCCAGGCACTGGGCTGAACGCAGGTGGACGGAGAGGAGGAGGCCACATCTGGGTGCCCGGAGGCCCCGCCCAGCTCTGCAGTGTCACACCCTCCCGGTCCCCGCAGCTGTGCACGTGCCAGGCCCTGCAGAGCGCCAGCCCCTGCGCCTGGCCCACGGAGACCCACCCAGCTTCCATGTCTGACACTTAGTAGATGCTCAGTAAATATTTGTAGCATTGAACTCTTATAGTTGTTTACCGATTACATGTTTTAACATAATATGCAAGGATTTTCTTCATTTTGCTGAATAAACAAATATATATAATATTTGGACGTTTAGAAACCAGTCTCGCTGTGGGTTAGAGGATACTGTCGCTCTGCACTGAACGCCACTCACCAGTCACTGACACACTGTTAGAAACGACCACGGCCGCGGGGAGGGCCCGGCCTCCCTCCCTGGGGCCGGGAGCAGCGCGCATCCTGCCGGGGCTATGCCGGCAGCCACCCCCGGCGCGGGAAACGCGTGTCTCCCATCTCAGCCGAGGGCCGTCCAGCCTGGCGCCCCCAGCAAACGTCACACACAGGCGCTCGCGGCCGCTCCGAATGGCGGCCCGTGGCGCTTGTGCTGGGGCGCTAAAGCTTCCTGAGCTGCCCGTTTGTAAGCCCCAGTGCCGTCTTCCCAGGCTCTGACCCATCTCTGTCTCCCACAGGCATCGTCTCCAAGTCCTACGAGTGCCGTCTCAAGGGACAAGGCGCCACCTTCGTGGAGACGGACAGCCCCTTCACCGCGGTCGCCCTGGCCGAAGAGGCCCCCATCCGCGAGAAGCCGCCGCGGGGCAGCAGGAGGCAGGCGCCGGCGTCTGAGCAGGTGCAGCAGGTCATCATCATCCAGGGCTACGACGGGGACTTCGCCCTGGACGGCTCCGTGGAGGAGACGGCGGCCGCCACGCTGCAGACGCTGGCCATGGCCGGCCAGGTGGCCCGGGTGGTGCACATCACAGAGGACGGGCAGGTCATCACCACGAGCCAGAACGGGGCGCACGTGGGCAGCGTGGTGCCCGGGCCCCTCCTCCCCGAGCAGCTGGCTGACGGCACCACCCAGGTGGTCGTGGTGGGGGGCTCCGTGGAAGGCCACGGCGTGGAGGAGCCGCTCGGGCCACGCAGCGCTGTGATCCAGCAGGTGACCAAGCAGGAGATCGTAAACCTTTCCGAGGCCGGAGCGCCTCCCCCCGACCCGGCCTCAGCCTTAGACGCACTGCTCTGTGCCGTCACCGAGTTGGGGGAGGGGGAGGGCAGGGCGGGGCACGAGGACAAGGGCAGGCCGGGCCCCAAGGACGTGCTGGTCCAGCTGCCCAGCCAGGAGGCCCCCGGCGCCGCCACGCCCGAGGGCCCGGACGTGCAGGTGCTGCAGGGCGCCCCGGAGGGCGAGGGCGTGCTGGCCGACCTGGCCCGGCCCTCGGCCGTGGTCGCCTCTCAGGAGCGGGCGCAGGTGGCCTTCAAGAAGATGGTCCACGGGGTCCTCCAGTTTGCCGTGTGCGACGCGGCGGCCGCCGGGCAGCTGATCAAGGACGGCATCACGCAGGTGATCGTGAACGAGGAGGGCGCGGTGCACATGGTGGCCGGGGAGGGCTCGCAGATCATCATGCAGGAGGCCGAGGCCCACGGGCTGCGCGTGCAGGGCGAGCGCGTGGACCTGGTGGAGGCGGGCGGCGAGATCTCGCAGATCATCGTGACGGAGGAGCTGGTGCAAGCCATGGTGCAGGAGCCCGGCGGCTTCCCCGAGGGCGCCACACACTACATCGTGACGGAGCTGCCCCCCGGGGTGCAGGGCGAGGCGGGCGTGTTCTCGCACACGGTGATCGAGGCGGCGGACTCGCGGGAGCTGCTGCAGGCCGGGGCCGCGCTGGGCGCCGAGGCCGGAGCAGACCAGCTGACCAGCATGGTCATCTACACCCAGGAGGGCTCCCCGGCGGCCGCGGGGATCCAGAGCCAGAGAGAAGGCCCAGAGCTCCAGGAGGTGTAGGCGCGGCCCGGCGCCCTCGCCGGCCGGCAGGGCAGGCGCCCGCCTCGCTTCCCTTCCTGAGCTGCGTTTGTGGCCTTCGAAACGACGACAACACGCCTTGGGAGGAGGACGGAACGTCGCGTCCGGGCCAGCCCCCACGAGGCACACTGGGTGCCCGAGGCCTGCGAGCCGGACAGGTCTCCGAGCAAGGGCCGTCTGTCGGCCGCCCCGCGCAGTCCGGGCCGCGTGCCAAGGAGAAGCCAAGTGTCGCCCGGTTGTCCTTTCCTCTCACAAGTATTTTCCCACTTCGGTTTTCAGAAGATGGTTCCCTAGTGGTGGGAAAGTGATAAAAATGGACCACGTGGCTCGGGACACGTCTGCTCTTGCAGTCACGCATGTAGCTGCTTCAACATCTTACTGTGTATTTGGTTAAAATTGCAGCTACGGTGGTCACCGCCTTGAAGCAGCCCGCTCCTGTTCGTTTGTTTTTAATTTTAGGGTAACAGTGTCCCCAGACCAAAGGAAGCCGGTTAGTTCATTTCATGTGTAACTCTCCTCTCTTCAGACATTCTGGGCGTGTTCGTCGCTCCAGTCACGCTCTGCATAAAAGAAATCTTCTTAAGCCTATGGTTAAGAAAAGCCTTGAAGTTTATATTCAATTAAAATATACCTTGGTTAAGACAACCCGATGCTTCTAATTTTGACTTAGTTTCATACGATAAAGTCTATATATGAAATGTGCACTCTGGAAGATACCGTTCATATCAATATTTTGCTTTTTATAACAAATGTTTGTTCACATTGGTATCATTTTTGCAGGATTTGTTTGTGATTTGTGTCAGTTTGAAATCGCTGACATTAAACATTAGCAAGTAGAAACCATGCCCCCGTCTCTGTGCAGTTGCGGATTCACTGCGACTGTTGGATGCGAGTTTATGTTGCAATAATTTGTTTCTTGATATAATTGCTCTTATTTCTTTTCCAAAATTGTAAAATAATCCTCTCCCTCAAACGCAAAGGTTGTTTATGTTCTGTTTCTGTTTTCTTTGAAATAAAATTATAGCATTAAAAGATAATGCCGACATTCTGTTTCAAGCAGCCACCCGACAGGCAGCGTGACAGCCGCAGCACTCCGCCGGCCACGCCTGGCTGTCCCGCACCCTGGGCCCCTTCAGAGACGCCGGCTTCTCCCGCACATCTCCCGCGCCTCGCTCACCGTTTTCCAAACGTTTGGCAAATGGCCCAGACGCGTTCTGGTGACAATAACATATTCTATCATGGTTAGCATCTAAAAATTGTGCAGAGCAGACATAAGAGGGAAGGAAAATGGTACCTTCTTTGTTTAAATACAAGCACCGTTTAAAATCTCTTCCTGGGAGGACAACAGGGGAACCAGCCCCCTGAGCAGCCGGCCTGTCCTCTCCCTAACGTCCTTCTCGCCGCTTTCCTTTCTGTCCCTTCTAGAGCCACCTCCCTTTATACAGCCACCCTCCAAAAAAAAAATAAATAAAAAATAGAAGGTAAAACCTCAAGTTTGACACTGAGATCCATAATTAGCTGAGTGTGACTTGCTCGTGTTCCTTAAAAATGGCAGGGCTATTCAGCTCTTCTTAAACAGTCTTCAGCAAACAGTGACAGGATCAACTCCCGTTTGTTATCAGGATAAAGGTGACCTTTACAAAGTGATGGCCCTCTCCAAGCTTCTCGTACATGTTTAAAAAAAGGGGGGGGGATGTTTTCCAGTGGAAATATTTCTTCTTGATCATTTCTCCCGTTAGCAGCAGCCCGCGGTCCTGCGGCCCAGATGCTAATGCCTGCGCGTGCTTAGTCCTGTGTGGCTAACCTTTCTGCTGCAGTCCGGGGTGTTGACACTGACATGCTGCAGTTTACCATTTGTGATTTATTTAGGATAAATATGTCTCAGGTGGCATTTAATCCTTCATAAAACCAGTGTAGCCTGCAGTGTCAAACCAGCAATCATGTTGTATGCACAATGAAAAGAGCAGGCCTTTGCATAAAAAAAAAAAATTGTATAGAAGGTGTTTCCAGGCTCAGAAGGGATTGCAAAGGCTTCACTAAGCTATTGTATCCTGTAATTACCTATAGAGCTAGGTTAATGTTACCTCTCTTTTCTCTCTCATTACACAACTATCGGAATGTGAGGGGGTTGAAGCAGCCCATATGCAAACGTGTGCCCCAGAATAATGAGGCGTAGCAGGCTGTGTGAACAAGGGACATTCACTGCAGCATGGAGCGTCTGAAAAGAAGACATGGGCTTTCCTTGATGTTTTTGCTAGAGAATATGATAGAACTTTTAAAGAAGTAAAAAAAACAAAGCAAATGAAATATCTACTTGGAGACTGTAATCCAGAAAGGCCACATTTTTATTAAGCTGCAGCCAATTAAGTGGCTGAGGTTTGGCGCCCGGAGAAGCAGCTGGACGTGGTTTGGACGTCGACTCCCACGGCCTGAGTCGGGCGGTGCCCGCCCGCCATGCATGGTGGAGAGTGACAGAGAGCAGTTCCCACGCAGGAAGTCGCAGCCGTGTAAGGCCACGCAATGAACACCGAATGCTGGGATGGCTTTTCCGTCCTCACCGAGCGGTCCCAGCAGGGAGGAAGGATGCTCCCCTAAAACGTCTCCCGCGCCCCACAAACCCACCCAAGTCACCTGACGCAGAGCACATCGTTTTGCTACTTGGGTTGCTGTGAAGAGCCAAGTAGACGTGCTAAGGTTGCGTCCGTGCGGCGCCGAAAATCCCGCAGTCCTACGGCAGGTCAGTCCGAAGTGCGAACCCCAAAGTGTCAAAGAAAAAGCAGGGCTGGACACGAGTTACAGCAGTAAGAACAGATCGGATTCCGGGCAGTTGCAGGAGAGGGAGGAGACCTCAGTGTGGGCCGGGGCTCGCTGCCGGATGCAGTCGGGACGCGTGGAGACGCCTCGCCAAGGAGCAAGCTGTGCGGTGGGCGTCCCTCCGTGGGAAATTAACAACAGGAAACCGAGGGGCGGGGTGTTTCTGGCTCAGCTGACCCGACGGGATTCTTGCAGGAGGCAGGCAGGGCAGCCAGACATGCGCACGTGTGTGCATGTGTGTCTGTGCGTGTGCATGCGTGTGTGCGCGAGTGCGGAGGAGGAACCTGATTAGGTGTCGCGGTGATCTGCTATGGAGGGTGGGGGGTTCTGGCTACACTCACTCAGCAGGGTTCTTGCTAAAACTAAAAGATTGCACAAGGGCGTGGGCAGACGGGCATAGGAGAAGGTTCAGACTAAGGTTTGGTCAAGCAAAGGAACTTTGTCAAAAGTCCCGGAAGGCAGACGGGTCTCTGCTGGACCCCACGGGGCACCTGGCACCGAGCGCACTGGCCGCCACCCCGCCCGGAGCAAGCCAGGGCCCCGCCCGCCAGCAGCCCTGCGTCTAGGAAGTCCTGTGACCAGCAGAGAGCCTGTCTATCTCAACTCTACCAACCTTCTTGTTTTCCTGAACATGACATAATGGCATAAAGAAAGCGCTGGAGAGCCAGCTTGGAATGCTAACCCGGAGTTGGTTCTAGGAAGAAAATCAGGAGCAAGAAAGGTCATTCATTTAGCAAACTAAAAAAAGAGCTGTAAGTTTTCGCTTCTTTTACTGTTTAATATTAGCCCATAATTTAAGAGAGCGCGCAGCTCACTTAAGCAGCCTCCTCCTGTTCCATCTTGTGGAAGAACACAATCCGTTTTCTACTCCTCTAGGGTGATATCATTTTACATGAAGAAAAAAGTTAGCTCGGATGGCAGTTATACGTTTCGGAAGCACCTTCTAATCAGGGATTGGTGATTCATTATTAGCTTCAGCAGGCGATCCATCTGACATGTGAGGGGAAAAAATTAGCAGCTGTCACTGCATGATGAGTTAATTTCCTGACGGGCCTGACACTGAAAAGCCATTTGGAGACATGGCGAAGGCTGACGAGAAAACCTGGCGCTGCTTTATAATTGGAGATAAAGAAAGGGCAGAGAAACAGGCCGGGGGAGGCCGGCCCGCCCGCGCTGCCTGGCCGTGGCCGCGGCCCTGGCGGTGGCCCTGGCGGTGGCCCTGGCGGTGGCCCTGGCTGGGCGGCGGCGGCTGCGCCCCCTGAGCTGAGCGGCGGGGCCGGCTCCTCGCGGAGGGAGAGGGCTGCTCTCCTTCAGGCAGTCCCCTCGGCCATTCTCCTAATTGCAGCTCAGGCTCTCGGTGGCGGGATCATTCTTCATCACCAGGAAAAAGCAGCCCATGGCATGAGTGCGCGCAAACAGGCGGGGCGGCGAGCGTGGCTCCCCCGCACCCGCCTTCCGACCTGGCCTCCCCGGGCATCTGCTTCCGGCCCAACGAGGTGGGGAAAAAACCATGCTGCTCTTTAACATCCTGCATGGAAACAGAGAAGTCAGAGCGCACAGCGGCTCTGGAGGAGGAAGGGGCCGCCCGGGAAGACGCAGCTGTCAGAATCCGGGGCTGACGCCCCCCTGTCTGTCTCGGACTCCGGTCCGTGCAGTGGGTGAAGCAGAGACGCCGAGGACCCTCACGCTTGAGAGACACGCACGCAACTGAGAACCTTCTTCCTCCCGAGACTCCTGCGCCCTCGGCCCCGCTCCGGCCTCCAGCTCGGGCCTCCAGCTCCTCTCCTCTGGGCTGGGGGGTGGGCAGGACGCGCCCCAGGGAGCCCCCGAGCAGGGGACAGAGCGGGAAACCGAGTGCCGACCCAGGCCTCGAAACCCATCACCACAATCAAATCCATTCTAAATCTCTCAGGCATAGGATCATTTACTTCCTCCTCGGCTCTGCATTTTCAATACCTTTCAATAAATTCTTTTTAAAATGACCTAATTTCAACACGGCTTTCATCGTAAAAAGACAATTTGTAACCAGGATAAACATGAACCTACGGCCCGACCCTCCGAGTCAGCGCCAGGTTCAGTTCTCCCCGGTATCTGTTCCCCTTCGGATAACGTTTTAAGTGGAGGAACAAAAGCCAACACAAAGTAAGTTTGGGTTTTAATTTCCAAACTGAGTCCTGGTTTGAGATGAGCTTTTGTAAAGGGTGATCTGGGGCTCCCTGCGGGAGGGACGGAGCGGGGGGCGGGGGCAGCTGTGGTCTCGGGGCTTCCCGGCAGGGCGACAGCTCTGCTCGGTCGCCAGCAAATCTCCAGAGCAATCGCGACCGGCCTGTAAATGGGGCCGTGACCCAGGAGAGAACGCACCCCTCTTTCACCTTTGCCCCTGCTACGTTTTAAGGAGATAGGAAATATTTTAATATCAAAGTGGCAATATATGGCCCATTAGCATGGTGTGAGTAACCAGAACTAAGACTGTGCTCTGAGTCACTTTTCTGATAACGGCAGGGATTCAGCAAGCCACGGTTTCTCGCCCACGTTCAGAATGCCCCGCAAGATGGGCAAGGGGGGTCTGGCCGGCAAGCAAGGGCGTGAACTGGGGGAGCCCCCCTCGGGGTCCAGAGGTCTCCGGGCAGGTTGAAAGCTGAGGGTTCTCCACTGGGGGCCAGGCCTGGCCCACTTCCTGCCTGACCCTCTGCACGTGACAGAGCCCAGGCTGCCTGCCCTTTCCCTCTCTGCCAGGTGCAAGCTCAGTTCCAGGGCGGAGCCTGTGCGTGTCCATCTTTGTGCTCCAGACCTGCACCGCTGGCACGTAGCAGGTGCGCAGTAAAGCCCTTTGAATGAATGGACCAATACATGAGTTTTCAACTAGTCACAATTTTCCTTGTCTTCTTACTCACCTTCCTCTCTGCTGTTTTACTCATTATTTTCTCAAATAACAGAAATGTGTGGCAGGAATTGAGTCAATGAATGCATCATGAACACAACGTTTTTCAGTCAAACTGGTTCAATACACATTCTCTTCCTTCCACCCTTTTCCAGAACATTTCTTGAGGCGGAGGGTCCTGAGACCAAACCTCATGACAAAAACTAAGCCCAGGTCACATGCATCTCGCCATACAGTCAGGTGACTTTTCTAGCTCCTTACCAACAAGAATAGGTGGTGGAAGAGGAATTCTTCTTCATTCACAATCACCATGATCTTAAGGGAAGCATAAAAATT